TTTGGTTAGTTTCAAGTTTCATCACAGACTGATGCCATTTAGAGAATGGTTGAAAACCAGGGAATACTTGATAACCGTGTCGTCCTTCTTCGGGACTCTTCACAGTACACACCTGCCGGGATTCAAACCCAAGATGGTCTGGTTACAACGGGGTCCACCAGGTAGGGTGTGAGAGAAAAATACTCACTGATAACATTGACAGGTGGTTGGAATTCACTGGATCGGGTCCCAGTGGCTGAATGGTCTACGAACTTGCCTTTTAACCTGAAGGTCTTGCGTTCGAACCGACTGAGTTCCCAGTGTTGAAAAGTGCCAAACTGGGACGAAACAGCTGTGCTTGATCTTGGACAAAATGTTTACACACTGAATAGAAGTCTCAGGATATTCTACTGCAGCATATTTGCTCTTCGTCCAGAGATGTTCAACTAGAATAATAATAATAATAATAAACGACAGTATATTTCGTAACACAATGGTATTCAATACGGAGCTAAAAATAATCTCACCTTTAAGAAATACAGAGTAGTAGGATGAAAGCCAACTATTAATGCGCGCCAATATATTTTGCAATCTAAGCACATTAGTGAATGATTATTTACAGACTGATGCATTATTTTGTTTAGGAATTCAGCTAGCCTAGTAATCTGAGCAGGCGGCCAATCAGTTTATTTTATTGTATTTCTTCAGCTTGGAAAACTTACTTTCTAATCCCTCAAGTTATTTCATAGATGATGTTGATAGATGTGAGCTGTTCTTGTCGATTCTAAGATCACTGGATGAAAATATTTTAATAACTTTTTTGTCAGAAGGTGTTGGTTTGTACAGAACTGAACTGGTTTCAAGATTGATCATGAACTAACTTGATTTGTAGAACCACTAAAACCAGGGTTTCCTGGGCATCTGGTTCGTCCTTATCTTGGACTCATCACAGTATGCCCCCATGATTCCATATGGGATCGAATCTAGGACCTTCAGATTACAAAGTGAGCTGATCATCATCATTTTCACTGACAGTAGAAAAGTGAACAGTGGATAGACAAATCATCGGAAGGAAATCATGATGGATGACAACCACTCAAAGTGAGAATGAAGAACGACCAATTTGCTAACATCTTATAGACGAAAATACTATGATCAATCACTCTATGGATTTCTGTCACAACTGACAAAGCCGATAAGAATCACAGTGGAATTAGTTACGAATGTTCAATAAAAACGAGGCGTAAAATGAATATATCCATACTGATGGGATACGACTAAACGATGTACTGAATGAGCAAGAATAGGTCTATTCTTGTGTTAAAAAGAATTCACCAAATGAACGTCACTAAAAAGTCTATCTCAAAGACTGAGATTGCTAGGGAGACTTGAAATTAATGCCACGCCGTGATTCTTCAAAAGACGTTACGTTTGTTCCAAAGAGGTCTTTAGTAAGAGGAAGAAAAATCTTACATTCCGTTACCATGTGCACTGACAATCTGCCAGAAATTCTATACTGGAGAGATGGTTGCTCCTATCTCGGGACTCTTCATCAGTGTACACCCACTTTTACTCCAGGGGTTAAACTCGAGACCTTTTGAATATATCAATGACCACCTCACTCATGGCTACTGGATGGAGTTGCAGTGGGAAGTCGTGACCATTGAGGGGGTCCTCTATGTCAAAGTGAAGTCGATGTTTATCGAAGGCGTTGGTGAAGGCAGCTTTATATCATGAGCAGACAAAGTTAGAATGCATGATTCATTGAATTCCAGCTCAGGTGGCTGAAAGCTCAACAAGCTTGGTCTCGAAACCTTAAGGTTTCAGATTCAATTCCTGGCGAGATCGTGGATGCACGCCACTGAAGAGTTTCAGAATAGGATGAACTAGCTTGCCTGTGCTTCCTGGCTCTCAATAGCCTCTCTAAGTGATGTTGGTTCATGACGTAAATCTAATAATCGATTTTCCTGTTTAACTGAAATGATTTATCATAAAGTGAGAATCAATAGTATTGTGGTGAGAGCTTGCTACTAGCCAAAATTGGTAGACAGTAATTTACGTCAATGTTTATGCCCCCAATATTGGTCATGAGAAAAATAAGAACAAAGACTGACTCAACAACCAATCACAGCAGACTGCGTAGGTGGATACAATTTGCAGATAAATAATCTGAACTTCAGGAAACGACCACAAAGAGATGAAAGATTAACTATCGGCGAGAAACCACCAATCAGAAGACTGTGTTTGTTTCCTTAAAATAATCTATAATAATGTACATGAAAATCTATAAATATCTGTTAATTTCCTAAATAAACGATCTGTTGCCTGGCCCTTGTCTTCTGTCGTTACAGTGTGACATTTAGAGATATTTAGTTTAAGACCATTTCAGTGAGAGAGACCATTAGTTAACCTCAGACTAGAAACTGTTGATATCAGAACAGTCCAGTGCAGAAACTACTGGTAGAGAAATTGTCAGCTCATCATCAGCATATTTAATGAAATTCGAAGTAAAACCTTAGCAACCGCCTCAATGTCTGATTAGAGAGGTTTCGCGTGCATTTTGGATTGTGAGGGCGATTGTTACTTCCCAGCTGCCCACACCGTGGAAGTTGGTTACGTGACCGCAGAGCCCAGGGGACAACTGCTTGAGGCCGGTCACACACGGCCTGTTTTTGTTTGTTCTTTTTCATTTGGTGTATCTCAGTAGCGTACGTATCACTTCTGCCCTGTGACACGGCAGCAGGAAGCGCGGTCGTTGTTAATCCAGGCCCCAACCGATCCGGGATGATATTTTGTGATTTACTTTGAGTCATAGCATTGGGCTGGGTAACTGCTTTTTGTCTATCCGCTATCCAGACAACCTTTCTGGCATGGTAGGACCTCAAGCAACATAAGTCTCAGCCAGTATAGCTTGTTGGTTCATTGCGGTGTTCAAGCCCGACCACCACGTCAAGGTAGCAGTTTTCGGTAGGGTATCGCCTCAATAATGACCTTCTACAACCAATCAGAGTTACAAGTCGTATAACCAAATGAAATTACATTTTTTATCATATAGGTTCACAGTGCGATCAATAAAAGCGTGATATCATAGCATAGATCACTTTATCTTGTTGAAAAAAAAAATGGTGGAGAGTTTTGCTACAAAAATACTTGTGATACTCGACGTAAGTATCGATTTCACATAGAATTCAATAGAACACTTGTCTAGAATTATTTCATCATTCCGTCTAATCATGAAGCAATAACACATAAACACACACACACACACACAAACAGAAACAATTCTTCACTACAAAAAAATTTGGTTTTAGTTTTGACAGTTTGAACAGGTTCCTTTTCAATTTCTCAATTCTTTCTTGTTTTTTACCCTGAGCCAATATAAAGAAAACAAAAAATTTAACTGAGTAATTTTCGGTACTTCTATTTTTGCTGACATTTTTAAACTATGCCGTTTTTATTGTTACAATTCACTGAGTGTTTCTGGCATAATTTTAGAGAGATAATTGACTGTAAATATTTTTTTGTTTGATTTGGTTGAATTTATCGTTTTTACGTACTTAAAAAAATTGATATTGTATTAATAAAACGAATAATTGGATTTAAACTGTTAGAAATAAATAATATTCTGATGTGGTTGTCTTCTTTGAGCTGAAAAGTTTAACTGCGAAGCTTTCGTTGTCTTTCTAGACAGCATCTTCAGCTCAGGTTTTTAGTATAAAATGAACTTATTTAAATTCTCCATGAATGATAATATAATTGTCTATCCTAACGACCTTGGTTGCGATTGGCTGTTAGCTTACATCTATATTGATCGTTTTTATTGACTTAGGATTTCAACTACAGGCGGAACTGACGAGGATATCAAAGCAAGAATCGGAAAAGCAAGACAAGCTTTCACTACTCTCAAGTCTGTGTGGAGGTTAACAGCACTCAGTATGAAAAATAAGATCCAGATTTTCAACTCCAATGTGAAATCAGTCAGTGCTACTATACGGATCAGAGACTTGGCGCGTCAAAAACAGCATCTCATACAAACTACAAACCTTCATTAACAGTTGTCTTCTTTCAATACTCAAGATCAGATGGCCGGCCAGAAAAGATCAGCAACAGGGATCTTTGAGAGCGAACCAACCAGGAACCGATTGTGAAACAAATAGGCAGGAAGAAATAGAGATGGATTGGCTGGCCATACTCTGAGGAAACCATCAAGTGGCATCACTAGACAAGTCATTGCTCGAATGGAACCCGAAAGGGAAGCGGCGAGTTGGTCGTCCAAGGGTGACTTGGCGGAGGTCATGTGAAGAAGAGGTGAAAACGTGTGGGCAGACTTGGAGCCAGGTGAAGACTCTAGCAGAGAACAGAACGCAATGGAGACGCACGGCTGAAGCCCTATGTTCCTGTAGGAATCAAAGGATACAATAATAATAATAATTGACTTAGGAATTCGAAATTCCTTGTTATGCGATTTATTTTTTATTAGTTAGTCAATTTGGTCTATGGTAATGTGTCTGTTAATCGCTGATTAATTTGGGTAGCAGGGCTTCAAGAAATTCCCTAGCATTATTGTTGTTTCCTCTGTTTAAAAATTCCATATTTCCCCTGTCAAATTAGTGTCTATATGTGAGATGGGGTTGCTGGTCTCATTCTCAACCTTCCCACTTTACCAGTCTTATTGTCGGCTTAACGAGGTAAAGGAGTGCGTCCGTCGGCAGTGGATCGAATCCCGGACAACATAAGGCGCGATTGGCGAGCCACCTCTGTGCCACCAACGCACGACAGTTAGCGTGTTGTTTCTTATTCTGGCTCCACTCCAGTGATGGCTTAGGGCGTGATATGACCCATTGGTCTGCTCATTGTGTATCTGATGCATTTCCATTCTCTTATGTATATTTATTGAACAGTAAGTCCTCTTGATATTAACAATAATAATAATAGTAATTATATTTCTATTATTTTTGCATATTACACAGGTCACTATTCTTAGTTATTAAATAGCCAGTTATTTTTGTTTCTAATTGTAGGGCGCGACTTCATCCGACTAATATACCAACATGGAATTCATGTACACCGTTCATTCCAACACGCAGTTATGATAAATTAGTTGGGAATTATTTAAAAATACAATGATTACAACAATAGTAATGATAATAATAATAATTATTATTACAAAATATGTAAATGTATGTATATATACATGAGTGTATAAACTGAAAGTTGAATTTCAGCAGATTCTAATTGTATTTCATTTTTGTGTTTTGAAAAACTGAAACTAAATAAAAGTATGTACGCATACGCCTAATATTTGGCTGTTCTTTTCTCTCTTTTTTTGTAATTTTTCGACCTCTTAATATAGTCATTTGCACAGAAGTTGAGACCGGAGACAGAGTAAATTGTATAAATATATATTATTCCTTCACGTCCCCAGTGGAACATAGGGCTTCAAGCTAGAGGCTTGAAGTTTCTTTAGTAGCGTTTATTTTTACAGGATGAGGTTGCTAGCCTCATGCCCAACCTTTCTCCTTTACCAGCTTTATTTCTGCCCTAGCGAGGTAAAGGAGTGCGTCCGTGGCCGGAGATCGAACCCCGGACCAAGTGCATGGTCGGCGGTCATTCTAACCACTGGGTTCGAATCCCGGTGGGTGCGTACTGCTGAAGAGCCCGAAACTAGGACGAAACGGCTGTCCAGTACTCCCAGGTTTTTATGTATAATTTAAGTATAAGTTGTTTAGTAATATCACTGGTAATGTATAGGCGACATAAATGCTTAAAACTGAATACTACTCATTTCGATGAGTATCTGTATATGCTTTCACATCAATCAGTAGCCGCACTTGCCAGCCAGCTAGTCAGATAGAACTGATTTTGATGTAGTTGTTTTCTCTGAGCTGGATGGTTTATTTGCGAAGCTTTCGTTGCTCTACTAGGCAGCATCTTCAGTATATACTTCAGTTTGATGAGGTGAGCGAAACAACCAATCACGTTCAAGGTCACCAGGAGAGATGACTAATAAACTCGTGGAGAAAAATCTAAAAGCTCACTTCCAATCGTAGTATTGGCTTAAGATGTCGTCTAGTAGGGCAATGAAAGCTTCGCAAATAAACTATTCAGCTGGCTCAGTAAACACAACTACATCAAAGATTATCCACCTGAGATTCAAATCTTCTCCTTCATATCTAGATCGAACTGACTCAAACACCGGAAATCTGTTTCTCTCGTTTGGAGACTAGCTCATCTGTGGTGTACCTGGCTGGAATCACTTGAAACCACCTGATGAGTCCAGTGGCAAAGGGGCAAAATGGTCGTCCAATGTTTATATCACTTCGATTTGGCTGGTTGGCAAGCGGCACTACTGGTTGGAGTGAGTGGTATATAACTACTTATCTCAAACAGTTAGTAGTAGTATATGATTTTACTCATTTATCCTTGCTTTCTTGATTATCATATATGGTATTGAACAGATCACATATTGTGGTGATCTGAATGGTTTCAGAGTCCAATAGAAACTGTGGTGAAGTTTCACCTCTCTGAATTGTGACCATTGCGAAATGTGAATTTAATAGCATGAATAGCTCTCTTAGGTTTTATAGTGACTATAATGGTGGGATTGAAGAAGTGTACTTAGTGGATTCAGTGTTTGCAATGACAGAAATTGAATACAAGCCATATATATGGAAACAACGCCATTCTGAATGAGATTCAGATATCCAGGGCACTTGTTAAACAATACCTAGCGACTGCCTTCATCAATGAGCAATGTCAACTGATGATATAAAATAGGATTAGAAAAGAGAGTTATGAGTGGTCAAGATGAAAAACGGGATCAATCCTTGAAGTCTCTGACTATTGGTGACATGTCTGAAAACCGATGATAGTGAAGCAGATGCATCAACTCTTTGTGATCTCTCCTATGCCCATTAAATCCTCATCATTCTTCTTTCTCTCGTACTGTTATGATTTCGTCGAGTGAGAGTAAGAATGCTAACTGACGATAATGAACCCTGGATAGTTTATTGATCAGTTATTCCTTGACCCGAACTAATAGAATCCAGAAGACCCACACAGTAGGAATGGAAAATATATATTTCCAAACAGGTGAAAGAGAAAGTGACCGGTAGTAGAAAAATACATGGTGTATATTGATCCAGTTACAAGGCTAGAAGGTCATGGGTAGGATTATTGCGTGTTCTATTTGACTAAATGAGCGTACACGTATTTCCTAGTACTTCTTCACGTTTATCAATGTGCGCAGACGTTGTGGCTACTCGACGCCCACAACGTAAAATCAGAAGGCACTTGTGAAGAGTATAATCGTGTATTATAGCCGTAGTCAAATTTCGAAAAAGTATCAAGGTAACGTTCAACAGTAAATTGGCAAATGTTTACGAAGTACATATAAAATCGGTATGTGTAAACATATAATATGAGTATGCAAATTAGATTAAAAACGTATGTTTATAGTTGGTATAGGGGTACTACATAATTCCCCCACCAGAACACTGAAATATAAAAAAAATACATTTAAGTGTTCGACAATAAAATGCGTCAGCGTAATACGTAGCAGCGATAGTACATAGAAAGCGATTTACTAAGCTGAAAAAAATGAGCAATTTAATGCGGTCAATAAGGCCGATAATAAATGCGATAATAAAAGAAAAAATAGGATTGATGATCGTGGTAGAATATATAAGGAATGATACAATCAGCCGGGGATCTGTAGTCTGTATACGGAAACGATACGTGAATATTAAGCGCTATATGATTAAATGTAATAATACAGGGAATATCGATGTTAAAATAGTAGTGACGTGATTTACTTATGAAAATATTAATCAGTTAAATGAGTTGTTAAATGACAATTACGAATAAAGATAATAAAAATGAAAATTCGTAATAAGTTATATATTGATGATTTGTACATAACGTTTAGGCCAATGAACTCTCCTACCAGAGCGTGTAGTTTTCATAGGCTTCTCTGGCGACGTTGAAGCTTGCGTGGATGTAGCTGTTGGCACGTCGTTCAGCTGGTCTTTATCGTTGTCTTCGAAATCGTCGATGAACGCTGGTTTGACTCTGTCGACACTGATGGCTTCTGCTTTATTCAGTCGTTCTATCGTGATAACTTTATCGTTTCTATTTAGAACTTTGAATGGGCCATCATAAGCGGGTTGAAGTGGTCGTTGTACACCCTCTCTCCTGACGAAGACGTGAGTGCAATCTGTCAGTTGTGGTGGGATGTATGACGTTCGTTCCTGCTGGCGTGGAAGTGATATCTTGAGCTCGTTCATGTGTTGTTTTAGCTGCTGCACATAACCAGTCATATCTTGTGGAACTTGGTTACCTGGGGTGAAAAATTCTCCTGGTAGTCGTAATGTTGTTCCATAGACTAGTTCGGAAACACAGCAGCCAATATCTTTCTTTAGAGCAGATCGTATACCAAGCAGTACCAGTGGAAGTTTGGTTGACCAGTCGTTTTGAGTCAAAGAAGCAGCGAGCGCAGCTTTGAGTTGTCGATGAAGGCGTTCAACCATGCCGTTGGAACTAGGATGGTAGGCGGTTGTTCGTATTCGTTTGATGCCCAGTAATTCAGTTAGCTGTTGAAAAAGTCGACTTTCAAACTGAGCACCTCTGTCCGTAGTGATAATGGATGGGACACCAAAATTAGCTATCCAGTTTTCGAGCAAAGCTTTAGCTACCGTTTCAGCTGAGACGTCGGCTATTGGAACTGCTACAGGCCAACGAGTGAATCTATCGACGCAAGTTAGAATGTAGTTGAAACCATTGGAAGGAGGTAGTGGACCAACTATGTCTACATGTATATGTTCAAATCTAGAGTCAGGGTTAGGAAAGCGACCAAGTGGTGCATTAGTGTGACGGTTGATTTTGACTCTTTGACAAGACAAGCAATTTCGTGTCCACTTCTTAACATCGCTATTAATGTTCGGCCATATAAATCTTTCTTTTATTAGTTTGATAGTAACGCTGACACCGGGATGAGACAAGTTATGTAACTTCTCGAATACTGTATGTCTCATAGCTGCTGGAACGAAGGGTCGATATTTACCCGTAGAGGTGTCGCAGATTATTTTTGTCGTGCCAAAAGGAATTGCGTCTAGCTTTAAAGAAGTTGTTTTGGAAGACATGATCTTTTTAAGTTCGGCATCATCTCGTTGTAAGTTTGAGAGACGTTGGTAGTCGATGTCTGGGCATACAATATTGTCAATGTGCACACGTGATAAAGCGTCTGCCACTTCATTGTTTTTACCCTTCACATGTCGCAGATCAGAAGTGAACTGAGATATAAACTCGAGATGTCGTAGTTCACGCGGAGAGTAGTTATCCTGTTTTGCTGATAAGGCTTTCGTTAGAGCTTTGTGGTCTGTAAAGACAGTAAAAGCTGTACCTTCCAGCATATGTCGAAAGTGCTTGATTGCTAAATAAACAGCCAATAACTCTCTACCAAAAGTGCTGTAGCGGCATTGAGTAGGATTCAGTCGTTTCGAAAAGAATGCTAGGGGTTGCCATTCGCCGTGTACCTGCTGTTGTAAAACTGCCCCGATGGCAACGTCTGAAGCGTCTGTCATGAGAGACAGAGGAGCGTCATTTTGACGTCTGACCAAGAGTGTCTTGTCATTTAACAATTGTTTGACATTTTCGAATGCTTTAACAGCTTCTGCGGGCAAATGGAATGAATGACTATGTCCACGTAAGCAGTCGGTTAATGGTTGTAAAGCTTTGGCACAGTTCGGTATAAAACGCCGGTAAAAATTAACGAGACCCAAAAATCGTCGTAATTTCTTAAAAGAATCTGGTAATGGATAATCTTTGATAGCTTGTACGTCATCAGGGACTGGTCTGATTCCTTGGCTATCGATTAAATGACCGAGAAATTTCAGGGAGGTCTTACCAAATTCGCATTTGTCTAAGTTGATAGTCATTCCGTATTGGTTCAGTCTTTCAAACACTGTCTTCACATGTTTCAAATGCTCGGCTTCGTCTGCACTTGCAATTAGTAAGTCATCGATGTATGCGTAGACGAAAGGGAGACCACGGAGTACTTGGTCAATTAGGCGTTGGAATGTCTGAGCGGCGTTCATAAGTCCGAATGGCATGCGTACGAATTCGTATAA